GACATATAAAATAGCAGGAAAGACGAGGGGACAAAACGGGATGTTCCAGAGATGGAACACAGACACAAGAGGTCACAATTGGAAGTTGAAGACTCAGATGAATCAAAGGGATGTTAGGAAGTATTTCTTCAGTCATAGAGTAGTCAAGCCGTGGAATAGCCTAGAAAGTGAAGTAGTGGAGGCGGGAACCATACATAGTTTTAAGGCGAGGTATGATAAAGCTCATGGAGCAGGGAGAGAGAGGACCTAGTAGCAATCAGTGAAGAGGCGGGGCCAGGAGCTGTGACTCGACCCCTGCAACCACAAATAGGTGAGTACACATATACAGGATTTCACACCTTCCTGTGAAGTGACCCTTTTCTCCCCCGTCTCTCTCCCTCTCCTCCTCTTTCTTCCTCTCTCTCTCTCTCTCTCTCTCTCTCTCTCTCTCTCTCTCTCTCTCTCTCTCTCTCTCTCTCTCTCTCTCTCTCTCTATCTCATCCTCTCTCTCCTCTCTCTCTTCCTCTCTCTCTTCCTCTCTTCATCTCTCTCTTCCTCTCTCTCTTCCTCTCTCTCTTCCTCTCTCTCACTCTTCCTCTCTCTCTTCCTCTCTCTCTCTCTTCCTCTCTCTCTCTCTTCCTCTCTCTCTCTCTTCTCTCTTCTCTTCCTCTCCCTATCCTCTCTTCCTCTCTCTCTCTCTCTCTCTCTCTCTTCCTATCTCTCTTCCTCTCTTACTCTCTCTCGTCCTTCTCTCTCTCTCTCTCTTCCTTTCTCTTCCTCTCTCTCTCTCTATCTCTCTCCCCCTTTTCCCTTCTTTCCCCCTCTCTCCTTCTACCCTCCCCTTCTCTCTCTTTCTCCCTCCCTCTCACTCTCTCCCCCTTTTCCTTTCTCTCTTTCTCTCTCTCTCACTAAAAAAAAATGGTTGGGACTCGTAGGAATCAGGGATCAGATGACAATGGTACTGGTAGGGAGGAATGGATGGAGGAGCAGTGGAAAAGGATGGAGCAAGAATGGGAGAGAAAATTAGGAGAGCTTTCTGAAAAAATGGAGAAAGAGCTCTCTGTGAAATGGGAGAAGAGGTTGGAGAAGGAGACGAAGAATTGGGAGGCACAAGTCGAAACTGCAGTAGCCAGGGTAAAGGTCCTAGAATTTGAGGTAAACAGGCTGAAGCAAGTCTCAGGGGCAGTGACCAGAGAAGACACACCATACGAAGCTGAGAGGCTGAACAGGAAGGAAGGAGATATGAATTATGCTAAGGTCGTATCAGCCTGCAAAGAAGGGCCAGGAAGTGGAAGGGAAGAGCAGCTGGGTGCAGATGGAGAGGGAGATAGGTCGAATGCTGAGGCACAACCATGCTACCAAGAGCCACTGGAAAAATCAAGGGAGAAAATGACCACATACGCAGGAACCAGAGTCACGGGGGAGAGGAAAAGGGGGAGGAGGAAAGGGAAAATCATTTTTTAAATCCATGGGTTTTGGGGAAGAGAAAAAAGGACACACACAAAAGAGGAGAAAGAAAGAAAGGAGTTTGAGAAAATCATCAAAAAATAGGGGAGAAGACATGGACGAGATTGTAAATTTTCAAGAATAGGGAAAACCGACTGATCAAGCTGTTCCAGGAGGGAAACATGCAGAGCAGGATCCTCCAAGAGAAACATGGTTAAAAAGCTCAGAAGATAAAAAAGGTTTCCCTAGACAGAGACAGAACCAAAAACAGAGAGACAGCAGCTGGGGGGAAGGGCAAAAACACTAAAAAGCAAGGAGGGAACCCATCAAGGTCGTCAGACAAACAGAGCAGCAAGGGCAAGCACACACACAATATCCCAAACCCACCCTATCACACCATCCCAACACACAATACAATCCATCCCCCACAGTTTCCCCCCACCCCCCAACCTAGAATCCCACATATGTCCCGGGGGTCCCCCACCCCCACACCCCCCCCAAACCCAGTTTTGGGAAAAAGGAAAACAAAGGGTATTACACAAACGTGAGGAATAACAAACAAGTGAAGGAGTGGAAGAAAAGAAAAGAGGAAATCCCCAACATCATAGCACTCACAGAAACAAAGCTTACAGTATGAAACAGATGCCATTTTTCCCAAAGGGGGATACCAGATCCTGGGGAAAGAAGAAGGAACAGGGGGGTGGAGGAGTGGCATTGCGATCAAACACAATGGAATTTTGATGAGGGAGAGAGAGACAGCGGAAAGAAAGTGATTACATACGGGAACCTTCATCTGGGGTCCCAAGGTATAATTGCAGTGATGAAACCCACCACAGAACAGCAGGGGGCCAAGGCAAGATTATGACGAAAAACAATAGAGCGATGGTTGACCCCCGGGCTGAGGGGCCAGAAGAGCTCATCCCCTGCAGGGCAAAGCCCCTGATCAGGCGATTTTAACCCAAAAAGGAAATCGAATGGGAGAATTTGGAGCCACACAGGGGCCAAGATACATGGAGGGCAAGATGATAAAGGGTTTGGTACTGGAAAACTTCATGTCCAACACGTAAGGGACACTACAAGAAGAGGGGAGAGGAGAACCCACAAGACGGGACTTAGTTTCCCCTTGAGTAGTGCAGATTTTGGGGACTCACATATAAAAACCCCCCTTGGGCCAGCGATCATGTGGTTTTGAGCTTCGAATACCATAATCAAGTGGGGGGGAAGCGGGAAGGCCGGGAAAATGAACCAAACTACGGGAAAGGGAACTACACAGAATGAGGAAACCCCGAATGAGGTTTTTGGGAAGAGAAATGGAGGGAAGCCATTTAAAGAATGAGGAATATGTAGCAACAAAGTGCAAGGAGGGTGAGGAGAGGTTTGACCCCAAGGGAAACAGGAAAAATGAAAAGCCCGGGGAGCCCCCGGTTCACCCAAAGATGCAAGGGGCAAAAAACCAAGTGTGCTAGGGGTGGAAGAAAAATAGAAGGCAAAAACCCGGGGAATAAGGAGAGCACGTAGGCCAAAACAATATGCACAGATAAGAAAGGGGGGCCCCAAAGCCAATATAAAAACGACATAGCGAAAAGCCAAAAATTTACCCCAAGCTGTTTAACAGCCACTCAGGAAAAAAAAACTTCAAGGACCGGGGAAAACAGGGGAAAGGAAGGAAGGAGAGACAACAAGACATGACATGAATATGTGAGGAACTCAAAAAGGTTTTAAAGAAGGTTCACAAGGGGGACGAAGGGGCCCCAGGAAAAGGAGAGGTGGGGGACACCACCATGTGCGGACACAGTGCACACAAACCCAGGAAGAAGTGAAGACTTCTGAGTGAGCTAGATATTCAAAAGGGAATGGGCCAGATAACATCTCTCCTGGGTCCCCGAAAGAGGACAGAAGGGGGCTATTGTACCTCTAACAACAATATTCAAAAATCTACGAAATGGAGATTGCCTGAGGCATGGAAGACAGCAAATGTAGTCCCAATCTTTAAAAAAAGGACAGACACAAAACACTAAACTAAAGACCATGTCACTGACATGTATAGCATAAAAAGTCAGGAGAAGATTTTCAGGAGAAAAGGGGGTGGGACACCTGAAAGGAAGATCTCATCAACAGCACCCAAAAGGGTTTCAGGAACGGGGAAATCCGTGTCACAAACCTATGGAGTTCTAGACATGGTGCAGCATAAAACAAGAGAGGAGGGGTGGGGATTGCATTTTGTTTGGATGAAGAAGGGTTTGACACAGTACCACACAAGAGATTGTGCAAAAACTGGAGGACCAAGCAGGGTAACAGGGGGGGCACTGCAAGGGTCAGGGAATACTTTCCAGGAAGACAACAGCGAGTTGGACGTGGGGAGGGGTCAGAGTGGGCACCTGGACCCGGGGTCCCCAGGGTCAGTCCTAGGGGCCAGGCGTTTCTGGTTTTTTACGACATGACGGAAGGAATAAACTCCGAGGTGTCCCCGTTTGGATGAGTGAAATTTGAGAAAAAATTCATTCATCGAAAACCAGGCAGAACTACAAAGGATTTTTGGGCAGGCTGCAGACCCGGGCCACAATGGGCCCCGGAGTTTTAACCCCCCCAAATGTAAAGTTAGAAGATTTGGGAAGGGGAAATAAACGCAGACGGGGTACCGTCTAGGGGGGGCCAAGACTACAAATTTACTCAAAGGAAAAGATCTTGGGGTGATAAACACCAGGGACACCCTGAAGCAAAACCCCAGAACAGCATTCCGACTCTAATAAGGAATTTGGACCCCGTACACCGTGTACGTTTGGCCCCTATTGGAGAGCGGGGCCCGTTTGAACCCACACCTAGCCAAGATGTAAAGAAACTAGAGAAAGTCGAAAGGTTTCAAAAAGACAGTCCCCGGGGCTAAGGGGGGGTCCTACGAGGGGGAAAGGTTTAAAGGGGAAAACGTAACGACATGGAGGACAGATGAAAAAATGATAACAGCATATAAAAATGAAAGGAAACGACAAGGGACAAACATTCCAGAATGGGGCACAGCAAAAAGGGGACACAGTTGGAAGTTGAAACTCAATGTATCACAGGGGTTTAGGAAAAATTTTTTCAATCACAATTTCGGGTAAAGTCAGGGAAGTGATGAGTGGGGGCAGGATCCATACATAGCTTTAAGAAGAGGTAAGATAAAGTTCATGGAGCAGGAAGAGTGACCTAGTAGCTACCAGTGAAGAGGCGGGACTAGGAGCTGCGACTCGACCTCTGCAACCACAACTAGGTGAGAACTAGGTGAGTACACACACACACACACACACACACTAGGTGAGTACACACACACACACACACTAGGTGAGTACACACACACACACACACTAGGTGAGTACACACACACACACTAACACTAACACCTCTCACTATCCCTCAGGGCTACAATAACAATTATACCTCTCACTATCCATCAGGGCTACAATAACACTAACACCTCTCATTATACATCAGGGCTACAATAACACACCTCTCACTATCCATCAGGGCTACAATAACACTAACACCTCTCATTATCCATCAGGGCTACAATAACACTAACGCCCCTCACTATCCCTCAGGGCTACACATGGTTGAAGGATAAAGCTGGCTCAGAGGACGGCAGGAAGCAGCAGGCTCGACTGAGAGAGCTTGGCCAGCTGGCAGAGAGGCTTGGCTGCAGCTTAACCCAGCTGTCAGTAGCTTGGAGTATCAAGAACGACAATCTGCACTGTGTCCTTATTGGAGCTGCTACCGTAGATCAACTACTGGAGAACATTAGTTCCCTCCAGGTAATGTTCATCGTCAGCCAGGTAATGTTCATTCTACAGGTAATATTCATCATCCAGGTAATGTTCATCAGCCAGGTAATGTTCATTCTCCAGGTAATGTTCATCATCCTCCAGGTAATGTTCATTCTCCAGGTAATGTTCATTCTCCAGGCAATGTTCATCATCCTCCAGTTAATGTTCATCCTCCAGGTATTATTCATCATCAGCCAGGTAATGTTCATCCTCCAGGTAATATTCATCATCCTCTCGGTAATGTTCATCCTCCAGGTAATATTCATCGTCCTCCAGGTAGTGTTCATCATCCATGTAGTGTTCATCATCCAGGTAATGTTCATCCTCTAGGTAATATTCATCATCCTCCAGGGAATGTTCATCCTCCAGGAAGTGTTCATAATCAAGGTAATGTTCATCCTTCAGGTAATATTCATCATCCTCCAGGTAATGTTCGTCCTCCAGGCAGTGTTCATCATCCTCCAGGTAGTGTTCATCATCCTTCAGGTAGTGTTCATCATCCTCCAGGTAATGTTCATCATTCTAGAGGCAATGTTTATACTCCAGGTAATGTTTATCATCTTCCAGGTAGTGTTTATCATCCTCCAGGTAATGTTCATCATCCTAGCGGCAATGTTTATAATCCAGGTAATGTTCATCATCCTCCAGGTAGTTTTCATCATCCTCCAGGTAGTGTTCATCATCCTCCATGTAGTGTTCATCATCCTCCATATAGTGTTCATCATCCTCCAGGTAATGTTCATCACCCTCCAGGTAATGTTCATCATCCTTCATGTAGTGTTCATCATCCTCCAGGCAATGTTCATCATCCTCCAGGTAATGTTCATCATCCTCCAGGTAGTGTTCATCATCTTTCAGGTAGTGTTCATCATCCTCCAGGTAATGTTCATCATCCTCCAGGTAATGTTCATCATTATCCAGGAAGTGTTCATCATCCTCCAAGTAGTGTTTATTCTCCAGGTAATGTTCATTATCCTTCAGGTAATGTTCATCATCTTCCAGGTAATGTTCATTATTCTCCAGGTAGCGTTCATCATCCTCCATGTAATGTTCATCATCCTCCAGGTAATGTTCATCATTCTTCATGTAATGTTCATCATCCTCCATGTAATGTTCGTCATCCTCCAGGCAGTGTTCATCATCCACCAGGTAATGTTCATCATCCTCAAGGTAATGTTCATCATCCTCCATGTAATGTTCGTCATCCTCCAGGCAGTGTTCATCATCCTCCAGGTAATGTTCATCATCCTCCAGGTAATGTTCATCATCCCCAAGGTAATGTTCATCATCTTCCAGGAAGTGTTCATCATCCTCCAAGTAGTGTTCATTCTCCAGGTAGTGTTCATTATCCTCCAGGTAATATTCATCATCCTAGAGGTAATGTTCATCCTCCTCCAGGTAATGTTCATTTTCTAGGTAGTATTCATCGTCCTCCAGATAGTGCTCACCATTCTCCAGGTTATGTTCATTATCCTCCAGGTAATGTTCATCATCCTCCAGGTAGTGTTCATCCTCGAGGTAGTGTTCATCATCCTCCACGTAGTGTTCGTCATCCTCCACGTAGTGTTCGTCATCCTCAAGGTAGTGTTTATCCTCCAGGTAGTGTTCACCACCCTCCAGATAATGTTCATCATCTTCCAGGTAGTGTTCAAACTCCAGGAAGTGTTCATCATCCTCCAGGTAGTGTTCAGCCTCCAGGTAGTGTTCATTATCCTCCAAATAGTGTTCATCCTTCAGGTAGTGTTCATCATCCACCAGGTAATGTTCGTCATCCTCCAGTTAGTGTTCAAAATCCTCCAGGTAGCGTTCACCATCCTCCAGGTAGTGTTCATCATCCTCCAGGTAGTGTTCATCATCCTCCAGGTAGCGTTCATCATCCTCCAGGTAGTGTTCATCATCCTCCAGGTAGCGTTCATCATCCTCCAGGTAGTGTTCATCATCCTCCAGGTAATGTTCATCATTTCTTTAGTTACTAGAAGTTAATAACACTCTTCCATAGAACTGGGAAATAGTGAATAAGTCTTGGAGTGTCAGACTGAACCTCGTGTCCTGGAGTGTCAGACTGAACCTCGTGTCCTGGAGTGTCAGACTGAACCTCGTGTGCTGGAGTGTCAGACTGAACCTCGTGTCCTAGAGTGTCAGACTGAACCTCGTGTGCTGGAGTGTCAGACTGAACCTCGTGTGCTGGAGTGTCAGACTGAACCTCGTGTCCTGGAGTGTCAGACTGAACCTCGTGTGCTGGAGTGTCAGACTGAACCTCGTGTCCTAGAGTGTCAGACTGAACCTCGTGTGCTGGAGTGTCAGACTGAACCTCGTGTCCTGGAGTGTCAGACTGAACCTCGTATCCTGGAGTGTCAGACTGAACCTCGTGTCCTGGAGTGTCAGACTGAACCTCGTAGTGCTGGAGTGCAGACTGAACCTCGTGTCCTAGAGGTCAGACTGAACCTCGTGTGTGGAGTGTCAGACTGAACCTCGTGTGCTGGAGTGTCAGACTGAAACCTCGTGTCCTGGAGTGTCAGACTGAACCTCGTGTGTCTGGCTAGTGTCAGACTGAACCATCGTGTCCTAGAGTGTCAGACTGAACCTCGTGTGCTGGAGTGTCAGGCTGACCTCGTGTCCTGGAGTGTCAGACTGAACCTCGTGTGCTGGAGTGTCAGACTGAACCTCGTGTGCTGGAGTGTCAGACTGAACCTCGTGTTCTGGAGTGTCAGACTGAACCTCGTGTGCTGGAGTGTCAGACTGAACCTCGTGTCCTAGAGTGTCAGACTGAACCTCGTGTGCTGGAGTGTCAGGCTGAACCTCGTGTCCTGGAGTGTCAGACTGAACCTCGTGTGCTGGAGTGTCAGACTGAACCTCGTGTCCTGGAGTGTCAGACTGAACCTCGTGAGCTGGAGTGTCAGACTGAACCTCGTGTTCTGGAGTGTCAGACTGAACCTCGTGTCCTGGAGTGTCAGACTGAACCTCGTATCCTGGAGTGTCAGACTGAACCTCGTGTCCTGGAGTGTCAGACTGAACCTCGTGTCCTGGAGTGTCAGACTGAACCTCGTGTGCTGGAGTGTCAGACTGAAACTCGTGTGCTGGAGTGTCAGACTGAACCTCGTGTCCTGGAGTGTCAGACTGAACCTCGTGTCCTGGAGTGTCAGACTGAACCTCGTGTCCTGGAGTGTCAGACTGAACCTCGTGTCCTGGAGTGTCAGACTGAACCTCGTGTCCTGGAGTGTCAGACTGAACCTCGTGTGCTGGAGTGTCAGACTGAACCTCGTGTCCTGGAGTGTCAGACTGAACCTCGTGTGCTGGAGTGTCAGGCTGAACCTCGTGTCCTGGAGTGTCAGACTGAATCTCGTGTGCTGGAGTGTCAGACTGAACCTCGTGTCCTGGAGTGTCAGACTGAACCTCGTGTCCTGGAGTGTCAGACTGAACCTCGTGTCCTGGAGTGTCAGACTGAACCTCGTGTCCTGGAGTGTCAGACTGAACCTCGTGTCCTGGAGTGTCAGACTGAACCTCGTGTCCTGGAGTGTCAGACTGAACCTCGTGTCCTGGAGTGTCAGACTGAACCTCGTGTCCTGGAGTGTCAGACTGAACCTCGTTTCCTGGAGTGTCAGACTGAACCTCGTGTCCTGGAGACACCACCTGTGGCGAAGTTTGAAGACGACCGGAAGAGTCATTTTCTACAACAATTCTGTTTCCTTGTTTTTTTCACTATTTTACCACATCAACAAATTTCCCTGAACCCAAATTTAATTTCAGTTCTTTTCAAGAAGACTTTTTGTGTGTGATTTTGTTAATAGAGCAACGCTGGTATAAACATTGACTCAAAACTGAAGCGTCCGTGTGTATGGTACTCCCTGATATTGCAAAGATAAAGCCTCTACATGTATAAACTTCTACATTAATAACAATAAAAACATCACGTAAATGTGAAGTGAAAGTAACAGGATTATTTTGCAGTGTCACAGTCATGTGTCACACTGTTTGTACATGTGTCACACTATACATGTGTCACACTGTGCATGTGTCACACTGTTTGTACATGTGTCACACTGTACATGTGTCACACTGTTTGTACATGTGTCACACTGTACATGTGTCACACTGTACATGTGTCACACTGTACATGTGTCACACTGTACTGTGTCACACTGTACATGTGTCACACTGTACATGTGTCACACTGTACATGTGTCACACTATGTTTGTACATGTGTCTCACTGTACATGTGTCACACTGTACATGTGTCACACTGTTTGTACATGTGTCACACTGTACATGTGTCACACTGTACATGTGTCACACTGTACATGTGTCACACTGTACATGTGTCACACTGTACATGTGTCACACTGTACATGTGTCACATTATGTTTGTACATGTGTCACACTGTTCTTGTGTCACACTACATGTGTCACACTGTACATGTGTCACACTGTACATGTGTCACACTGTTTGTACATGTGTCACACTATGTTTGTACATGTATCACACTATGTATGTACATGTGTCACACTATGTGTGTACATGTGTCACACTATGTTTGTACATGTGTCACACTATGTGTGTACATGTGTCACACTATGTTTGTACATGAGTCACACTATGTGTGTACATGTGTCACACTATGTGTGTACATGTGTCACACTATGTTTGTACATGTGTCACACTATGTGTGTACATGTGTCACATATGTTTGTTACATGTGTCACACTATGTTGTACATGTGTCACACTATGTTGTACATGTGTCACACTATGTGTGTACATGTGTCACACTATGTTTGTACATGAGTCACACTATGTGTGTACATGTGTCACACTATGTGTGTACATGTGTCACACTATGTATGTACATGTGTCACACTATGTGTGTACATGTGTCACACTATGTATGTACATGTGTCACACTATGTGTGTACATGTGTCACACTGTCGTGTGGGGGTTCGGATGGAGATAAGATGGATTAAGTAAACACCTTGTTGGATGGTAACACTA